CTCTCTTTCTGGGCCCCTGAGCATTCTCCCACCCAGAAATTTACTTAGGTCTCTCTGTCCGCATCAGCTCTCTTGGTCCTGCGCTCATCACGATCAAGGACCTGCCAAAGCCCCAGCATGAGCTCAGGCACCTCTTCATGGTCTTCCTACCCCTTGACCTGCACAGCTCCAAGAAACTGTATTATAAAGACCTCCTACCCTGGTTTTGCTCAGTGGTTACAGGGGTGGGGACATACAAGGCCCTAGAAATCGACTCCCTCCATAACCTCAGTCTCTTCCCTACTTTTGCTAACACCAATGGCTTCACCTCCATCAGACCTTCTGAGCGCTGAGCTTAGACCTTCTCTCTTTCTGGGACCCTGAGCGTTCTCCCACCCAGAAATTTACTTAGGTCTCTCTGTCCATCTCAGTCTCTTGGTCCTGCGCTCATCACGATCAAGGACCTGTGAAAGCTCCAGCATGAGCCCAGGCACCTCTCCAAGAAACTGTATTATAAAGACCTCCAGCCCTGGTTTTGCTCAGTGGTTACAGGGTTGGGGACGTACAAGGCCCTAGAAATCATTTGGTCTGGCCCTGCCAAGGTAATAGGGGTGAGTTAATGAAATGTTTGATCCAATATAGCAGGCTAATTTTAAGTTGATAGTTGTGTATGACCCATGTTATAAATATCCAAATGGCCCTTGGCAAAGAAAAGGTTTCCCACCCCTGGGTTAGAGCATTGGCCCTCAGACCAAAGGGTCACGGGTTTGATTCCCAGTCAAGGGCACGTAACTTGGTTGCAGGCTTGATCCCTGGCCTGGGTTGGGGCACGTGCTGAAGGCAACCAATCAGTGTATGTCTCTCTCATATTGATCTTTCTCTCTCTTGAATGATGTTATAAATATCCAAATGGTCCTTGGGAAAGAAAAGGTTTCCCACCCCTGGGTCAGAGCATTGGCCCTCAGACCAAAGGGTCACAGGTTTGATTCCTAGTCAAGGGCACGTAACTTGGTTGCAGGCTTGATCCTTGGCCTGGGTTGGGACACGTGATCAGTGTGTGTCTCTCTCATATTGATCTTTCTCTCTCTCTCACAGGAGGAGGAGGAGGAGAGAGGAAGGAGCTCCTCTCCTTGTACGCCTGGCCCTGCGTTTGGCCCTTTAAGAACAATGTCAATGCCATCTTTGTAAACCCCCTTCTCAGTGGCTGGTGCTTCTCTCCCTTCTCTCCCAACCCGTCTCAGGCCTCACCTCCATGGCGCCTAGAGCTGTGCTCGGAGGTCAATGGGCCTGAAATCAGCATTTGCTCACCAACTACTTTCTCTATAAACCAGGAAATAAACAAACATGTTTCTAGTGGTTTAAGTTAGACATCGGAGAATCCCTCAGCCACCCGCAGCGTGACGGCCTCGTTTGAAGGCCCTTTGGAGGAGGAAAGTCTCTTTATCCTCCAGGGTCCCGAGACGGAACAGGGGTGTCCTAACCATCACTGCCCAAGCTCAGGGGTGAGCTGGCACCAACCACACCCTCTGAATGGAACGCAGGCGCCCCAGGAGATGTGCGGGCTTCTGGGGAGTCAGGGGGCTGCTTCCTGAAGA